CATCTTGCTGGATCTTTTACTGGGAAGCACTGTTAAACCTCTGAACAAAATGTCCATTTTGATAAACCTTGCATTTTACTATTCTGTTTTCCTTCTTATTGCAACCCCACACTGTCTGGAATGCCAAAGTGGTTAAATACCTAACCCTTTTCCATAGACACCTTTGTGAAGCTAGAGTCCTCCACTTTTTGGAATAATCAGAAATTGACTAATTTCTGATTAAAGTTTTGATTAATATTAAATGGGAATAGGAGTTGAACTACAGTATGCCTACAGCCTAGACTAAAACCAACTCTCTTTGTGTTTCTAAGCTTTTCTCTTAATTGCACTATTGTTGAATTTGAAAAGGATTTAAAAAAACAGATACGAAAGGAAGAAAGTAAAGGTTTCTATTGAGACAACTACAGAAAACATTACGACAGATAAGCTATCTGAATAGCTCAAGTGCACTAGTGTCATAGCCCATGAAAATGCTTTTAAAGTACAGTATGTACTGTATACATGAGATATACTGTAAAATCATATCTGATAGTATTACAAAAGCACCGTGTCTTGGTATTAATAATTAATTGTACAGAATTTATACAGTTTTAACAGTCACCTGATACAAGAGAGACACAATAAAAAACTGACATTTGATTTAAAAAACTACATTTTGGTATTTTTTTCCCTGTGATGAGCTTATACTCTGTATCTATAATATTAAGTCTAAACATTATTCCTTTGCAAATGAAAATTTTCAAATAGACAAATGTAATATTTATGTAATTATAATGTTGAGATCATTGATTCAGCACCACAAATGAAATACATGTACATGTATTAAATTCTATATACTGTATATACAGTGCAGTTCATTGGTATTTGGACAGTGACACAATTTTTGCTGTTTTGGCTCTGTACTCCAACACATTGTATTGTGTTTATTTTATTTAAGATTGTTAATGTGTCCATTTACTTTTGGTATCCTGAAGTTGGGGAACTATGTATAAAAATGGCTGTGATTCCTATATGGTTCACCCAATATAGACATAAATACCCTCGAATGAAAGCTGACATTCTGCACTTTAACCTCATAGTTTCTCACTGTTTCATTTCAAATCCAATGTGCTGGAGTACAGAGCCAAAACAACAAAAAATGTGTCACTGTCCAAATACTTACGGACTGCAATGCATATCATTATTTTATTCAAAAGGATTTGACTTTTGTCTAAATGTTGTCAAAGTTATTTCTGTTGAACATGGAGCATATAGGCAGTGTAATTGTACTGCATAACTATGGTGAATGTTTTTTTTGGTACCAGGATACAGTTTTCATAGTGACAAATTTCATCGTAAATCTAGAAACTCAGAAAAGATCTACAGCACTTCATTTGAAAATTAATCAGAATAAAATGAGAACCTACCTTATTTTAGAGTGAGATATTAAATCCCAAAATTTTCTAAAAATGTCGGTTTTAAAGATGCAGTACTTTTTTTTATTTTGCGAGCAAGTGATCTTGACACACCTGCTCAAAACAGAACTCGGTAGCTTGCAAAATTAATTCCATACCGATAAGTGCCAGCTGCATGCTAGGATGCCACTTGTTCACTACAGCTTGAAACAGGTCAGAGACTGGTGCACTTTCCTTCCCAGGCAGGCAAGCTCAGTCAAGCAGCCAAATGTCAAATATTCAATAGCTAAAATCCCCCATCACAATGGACAGATATTTAGATATTTCCTCATATTTTGTTTGATGGATGTCCTGGTTTTGCCATTCAAAATTCGTAAAAAAGGTTGTGAACAAGTAAAAAAATATGGAGGAGGAGGCACAGGTCATGTTTAGAGTTCCTAGATACTTGGTTACCTGTAACAGAGTTACAGCAGTACTGTACCTAAAATAAGAAATATGGCAGAAATGGGTTTTTGATTGCATGCTTGTGCTGTGCATATTTTATGTATAATTCTGCATTAAAGGGGGACTGCAACGCTATTTTTACATTTTGGGTTTATAATGAATGAACAATGATGAGTGCATTATAAACCACAATGAAACTACCAAGTACATGGTAACAGAAGGGCCACCTGCCTAACAAATAAAATACACTTGCATTCATTTTGAGTTTTGCAGAAGTGCTATATCATTTACATTGGTAGTACTATATTCTATGGTAAATCACACCTAAAACAAAAATTCTAGCTGGACTTATATTTTTGGAGAACTTGTTGCGCTGAACAGCTGATTTGAATGAATTGAACTGAATTCAACATATCGAGTTTTGCTGAAAAATTCCACTTGTAAACTCCGCATGCAGATCACGTTCAAACCTTTTCTGGGGTGAAATGTCTGGTGAACAAACTGTATTTATTTGATGTACATCATGCTGAATCTCATGATTCAAGAAACTTATTGATGGGACCCATGAATCCCATGTTTATTACCCATATCTTGGATAGTTGGCAAATACTGTATGTCATACTTGACATGCTATGTCCTGAACAGCCCAATAAGCAACAGTGGGGCATCGTTTAAAATACTGTATATACGTGAGTTCAAACAGACAAAAAAGGATTAACGTTGTTAGGAAACCATGTTTCTCATTCATTTACAGCAACTAGTGAGCAGGAAGGGCCGTTTTTACGTCACAATTCACACAAACTCTCACTCTCGACCATGATGAAACCAGCAGTTTCTTGTCTGCCAGTGAGAAAGTAGTAACTATACAGTACTTTCACAAAGTTAATGGTTATGAATTTAATTCAAAATTTGTAATAATTTGAGTGATTCCATCAATAAATTTATTTTGTTACTGAGATTTAATACCCAGTCTAAGAAACTGGTACTACAGTTCCCCTTTACTGGGTAATGTCTGGTATACGTTGGCAATGGTGGACCACACATCAGTTCTTTAAAAGGAAAATTCTGGTTACAGAAACCAATCTGTTTCATGGTATAAAAACATACCATTTCTACACATACTTTATGGATGAGAATGGCACTGAAAACAGAAAAATGCTATTTGTTTCGTAATGTGTGCTTCATTGATTAAAAAAAAAAGGTTGCCAATAAACAGAAAACTTGTAAAGAAACTTACAAGAAACAGACAAGCACAAACCGCCTGGATATCGAATGTAATATATTTCCATACAACCATTTTCAAGAAGGAATTAGTCCAGTAAAGGGCATATTAGAACATAGAGAGACAGAGCCTAACCCAGCAGACATTGAGCACAAGACAAGATACAACCTGGACAGTGTGCCAGTCTATCATAGGGAGCACACACAGGGAGTCATTTTCACATCATGCAGACTCCATATAGAAGGCACCCCAGAATGAAATCATACCCAGGACCCAAGATCGGAGACAGCAGTACTAACACTACAGCTATACCACTCTGCTGCCCTAGTGCCTGCTATTCCAGGTTAATTCAAGTATACAAACTAAAAGGTTAGCATTATCTCAGGATGTAATCAATGTTTTTTTAATCAATGTTTTCTATAGAACCCCCCCCCCAAAAAAAAATTATCCCAACGTTTACAGAAATACAATTATTCTTTAACATAAAAAAGTAGAGTAGAAAGTAAAATGCTTTTCCAGAAACAGAGGGATTCATAACGATATTTGTCGGGTTCCACTTTTTGCATATTTAACATAAAGCACTAGCACTGTATTAATCCATGTACACCGTCAGATTGAAAACAAATTGTGTGTAATCTTATGCCGTTAGTTGGCTTCATTCACTAAATGGGATTACATCAGAAAGATGCACGTCTGATAAAAACGACTTTCCTTCAGCCCCTGTGCCTTTGATTTTTTAATACATAATTATTATACATTGACCTCAAAGCAGTCTTCAAAAGACAGTTAATAATTACAATACATTTCTACCAGTGAGTTGCAACAGGACCGACGCAGATTTACATTAGAGACACCCATTATCAAAACAGTCTGGGGTTAATGAGTACAAATACCACGGCGACATTAAATTAAATGTGCCTCGTTCAAAAAAGGTTCTTGTGTCATAAAGCACACCTTAATCACTGACAAACCACGTATAAAATCACCTTATCACGTAAAACCCCAATGATACAAAAAACAGAGCTAAAACAACAAATTATGACATGCTTCAAATCAATGTACAGTACAGACATTTTACACTTAATATATTAAGTATATGCGAATATCAGCAAGACATGCTATTAACAGTTCTATCAGTAATTGTGTTGACTCGCTGTAACAATTCACACATTTGTTGTCACACTAGCTTTTAAGATAAACTTGTAGCTTTTCTGTCTGAATTGCAAGAGGGTTTTGTATGCGATAGACACTCTGACAGTTGTGCATAGAAAGTGCGGTCAAAACCCATGTTAAGTGAAATCAAGCAACAATGCAAAATTGCATAGAAACTCGCGGAGAATGTGGCTCTCGAGGCTAAAGCAGTTACAGCCGTCGAAGGCTCACATTGCTGTGACTGACTGGTCTTGTGCAGTGTATTCATAATCGGACCGGGACTCAGATTCACTACAGAACTAATACTGTCCATGCAAGAGTGTGTGCAACTGAAGACACTATATTAAATACAAGGTGCTAAATCATATGCAATATCATTTAGGAAAATCTGATGACTTCTTAAAACGTGGCTATGAAGTGTACCAACAGCGACGTACTGTAAGGGATACAAAAAAAAAAACCCCGAAAACCTATCTTTAATAACCTGATCGGCCGCTTCGTTAAGGAAATGTTAAATGTACTGTAGCTGTTAGCAGCAAAACATTCTGCAACTATATTACTGTTAACACCGTGAATCAATTATAAAACTATACTGTAAATGCTGCCCCATTCATAAACAGATTGTACAGAGTGGGTCTCAATTAGCACACAAACAAATCCAAATTTCAGACATAGACCCTACATAATTCCAATATATGGTCCCTTTTGTGATGTAACACACTGGTACAGTATTAATGTAAGCATAGGTGTAATACAACAAGAATGTGCAAATCATGGACTTTACTTACAAGGACCAGGGCTGTGCTGTCTTCCAGAAACTCGGAGCTCTTTCCTTCATTGCTTTCCCGTGCGAAAAGGGCATTTGATGCATCGTTGCGTGTATAAAGAAAGGTTCGGTTCCACAGCCCTCGTATTTAGAAACTCAGTAAAGTCACTTCGCCAGACGCTCCAGTCTTCAAGACCTTTCTAGTTCAGACACTGAGCATCAGCTTTGCGCGACCAGAACTCCTCCTGCTGTCACGCTATTGGCTCTAAGCACGGATAAATCTAAATATGTAACTCCAATGGAGGAATAAGCCTGCGGGGGATGAATAAAGAACAAAAGACCTGAGACTTTTTTTGTCCTCAGGTACAGTGGAAGAAGCGGCAGTCATTCATTGTCTTCAGGGTTATTCGTGAAGCGAACTGCATATCACGAAGATGACCAGTGAAACGACTGCTTGCGCATCTTAAAGCCTTGCATTTTCTGCACAAAGAACTATATAAAGTATACTATAGATATACTGTAGGAAGGTGCAGGGACCAACACATTGCATTCTTATGCAAAGTCGATCTTTGTTTCATTCGTACAGTAGTTGCTGCTACAGTATGTGCGTGACTTTATAAAGTTAATTTAATAGCAAGCATATATTAAAAAAACACCAATTTAATCGTACACGCGTCGAAACACGAACGCAATGCAGCGGAAATGTATGATGTAGTTACCTTGGTAACCACTCTATAGAATGCCAAGCCTCAAAGCTCGTGGGGAGTCCTACAGTATGGATTTTATGGTGATCTAGAGATTAAGCGGTTTCCTAGTTCAAATAATCACTGTTTGTTTGATTATTTAAAAAATCTCAACAATCAGAAACCCGTGTACAATTTGAAAACTGAAACAAGACATTGACTTCTATTCTAATTTCTATTCTATTACTTAGTTACTAAGGAAAGTACGGCAGACTGACGTTCAAATGTATAGGAACAGGCTATTTTAGAAAATAATTCTACTCTAGTGCAATTTAGGTAAATTAGGCGTTTTGGATTTGTGTTGTGGAGCAAACATGAGAAAACACGCGTTGTAAATGAAACACCACTAGAAGCAACAACGGTCAAAGTAAACAAGAAATTTGTCAAAGCAAGACGACTTGTGCACTTGAGTGACCGAAAAATAACTCCCTTTTTTTCTTAAAAAAATTGATTTACAACTCTAAGACAAGAGGAAGGGTGAGTGTTTGCAACAAATCCTTTAAAGGTCAGCTTTACCTCCACACAAGGAGAAAAAAGACGTGTGAATCAAACAGCACAAGAGCTCCAGTGTTACGCTGTCAAGAACAGACCAGTCACAAGGAGCCAGTCAAAATGCCATTCAAGGCCATACAGCCAAGATTGTCTGAATGCACAGCTCTCTATCTGACTGGGATGACAATCTGAAGTGTTTTTTGGAAGAAACCTGTCTCCTGATAAATTGTAAAAACAAAAATAAAAGGTAAGAAATTGTATAAACACACCATATTACGTGTATATACAGGTATATATATATATTGGATAATATACTGTATATAGTATACAGTATTACACTGTACAAGTATATGCAAAATATGCTGTATATAACACTGTATATATATATACTTAGTGACATTATATATAGGGATAATTAGTGTGATTTCAACAGATTGGTGCACAAATTGAAAGTGGTTGATGTACATTAACTGGGTAGCTGGCTCCCTATAATAATTCCCTATAATAATCATATTTAGGCACTTTATGCAATGAAGGGTGTTGTTCTCAAGTCCCTGGGTTTCACAGGCTTTGGTGTAGTTTTTTAAAAAACTATAAAAATCATAACTGTCACTTCTGTAAGCCAACTGAAAGGTAATTTATAAAGATGCAAACAAAAAATAAAGCTTAGCTGTAATTAATAAACCCTCTGCCTTGCAGATGGATGAATCTCAAGACCCAACAAAAATGTTGATTTGAGATGGAATTCAGACCTGAAACATTACAGTACATTTGCTTTCAAAAGACAAGGTCTGTCAAAACACCTTGAGAAGACTTTCTCATTGCACTCTTTTAATGAACACATTCAATAAATAGTTGAAAAGGGCAAGTGTCAGAACTTGCAAAGATAGTGTCTTCAGTTGCACACTCTTGCATGGACAGTATTAGTTCTGTACTGAATCTGAGTCCCGGTCCGATTATGAATACACTGCACAAGACCAGTCAGTCACAGCAATGTGAGCCTTCGACGGCTGTAACTGCTTTAGCCTCGAGAGCCACATTCTTCGTGAGTTTCTATTCAATTTTGCATTGTTGCTTGATTTCACTTAACATGGGTTTTGACCACACTTTCTATGCACAACTGTGGATCACCTCCTCTGCAAGTCAAGAGAAATGACCTGCAAATCTAGTAACGTCCTTAAAATCATGATTGAATACTGATATAGTGTGAAATATAGAATAGAAATGGACCTGCATGCTAATTGGATGAGTTACCTTGTCTTTAACTACAGTTTAAATGTATATAACCAATTGTAAGTTCTAAATAAACTTACTTGTGAGTACAAACATTGAGTAGCTGAGTATATTTTTAATCATGAAGTATTCAGACAATCACATTTCAAACAAGGGAATTCAGTGAAAGAGTATTTTCAGCTTGTGACTATGGAGCTCTTGTACTGGGGAAACACAAGACAAAGACCAAAGTTTTTTCAAGTCCACAAAGATCTTCTTTGTGCCCTGAATGCAGAGGTAAAGTGAGAAGCCATTTTCATGACCAACGACAGAAGTGTTCCAGCAGCCACTGATGAGAAAGTACAGAAACTGGGGGAAAAAATGAAATGGCTGAATATGAGTGGGATCTCTGGATGAGGTGCCCTTTCTTGGATCAGAAATACTTTTTCTAGATTAAAATAAAATACATGTAAGTGCTACAGGTTGAGATAGCTTACACTGTGTATTTGAAATGTATGTTAACACTGGACTGTATTCATAACAAAACCTTGCCAGAGTCTGTTTTAATATGGCAAACAAGAAGGGACAGGCAGCTAACTTTAGGCCCCAGCAGGAACTGTTAGCAGGGCTGTTGCTGCTCTGCTGGAGGCAGAGTCTCTCCATCTGGTGTAAGAATGTGTCTGAGCCTTTTACCTACTTCTCCTGATCTAATTTAAAGTGGGTTTTGCAATAATTTTCTATGCATCCTACTATGCTGAAAGTACTGGTGTGGAATTTTCAGTTTGATTAACTTGGAACTGGATATTTATAAAAAGACCAGGAAAAAGCACTTGGGAGTTCCAGGAAAAGTGGCTTTTTAAATTCGATTAGGGCAGAATGAAGTGGGATTAGGGTGGCATCATGACACGTTTTTTAGTGCTGATGCCTTACAGCTCTAGAGTTCAAAATTCAATTTGGGTTTGAGATGCCTTCTGTGTGGAGTTTGCATGTTATGATTGTCTTTTGAGTGGATTTGACCAGATGCTCTGCCTTCCAAAGGCATGCTGAAAAAATAAATTAAATCAAGCTCCTTGGTGGACTGGTATTAAATTTAGGGGCATATCCTGATCACAAATAAGATTAGAAATAAGATTATTTTTTATATTTGAAGATAAGATCACTTTATTGGCCATATACAATTTATTGCATTAGGAATTCGTCTTTTTGCATACCCCAACTTGCTCTCCATGAGACACACAGGCAGAGGGAGAGGCTTAGGGTCAGAGCACAGGGTCAGCCCTTTATATGGTGCCCTGGAGCGGTTGAGGTTAAGGGCCTTGCTCAGGGGCCCAAAAGAGTAGGATTCCTCTGCCGGCCAGGGGATGCAAACCGACAACATTCCAGCCACATTCAGAGATTCTTAGCTACCACCCGAAAGTGAGGTTACGATCTTTTTTCTGACAGAAAAAAGAGGAAAATGTCAGTCTTCTGGATTTTATCAGCTACAGCTAGACAAACATTTGAGAAACATTTCTATTTTAATATTTAGCATGTAATTATCTCCAGATTTGCCAGATCCACCATTCCAGTATGTTCTAATCCTTGAGGCTGTTCATACATACTGTAAGGTGAAAACAAGAGGTATTTCTCAAGTAAAGTAATTCTTTCTGCTGGAATCAATTGATAGAAAAATGTTGGCTGTTTTATTTCCTAGTCAGCTGATAGTTTGGAACACTCTCGTTGGTTGTCTGCTTGTGAGCAACTGAGTACACAGAAAAGACCTAGTGAACTCAGCTGAGCACTGTTCAACTTTCTCTAACCTTTCCACTGAGTGAAGCTATTGTGGAAACAGGTGGTATATGGCCCCCTTTTGTGAAAGCTGCATGCTGGCATGATTCCCCAGTTGGGATCTGGTAAAAAAAAAGCCAGCCATTTTCAAGTTAAGCCTGACATTTTTTTTTCACCTTACATGGGAAATCTTAGCAGACTGAAACTTCATGTGAAATGTCTAGTTGACATCTATTGGAGATATACTGTAGGAGTGGATGTGCAGGCTGGCTCAGGCAGCTACTTTAAGCACGTCTCTGCATGGCTTTTGGCACTTTTCCTTTCTGCTTCTTAAAACTACCCTTCATCTGTGCTGAAATAATACTGCATCCTGGTAGATGTTCTGAGAAACGTCTGGTTTATAAATTCACTTCCCAATCTCTTTTGACGTACTGTAGTTTCAATCATGTAATCACTCAGTCCAATGTGTTTGCAGTTCAAGGCTGAGTAAAGAAAGGAGCTGGGCCTGATTAAGGGGTCTAGCAAAATAACCTAATAAGGGTATATACCCCATTCTATGATCTATTATAGAGCTCACATCCCAGATCGTGTTTTTATGGTGTATTATTTAAAAACACAACTAGAATGGCAAACTCCAGCTTCGGTGGGGAAGGGTGAAAACACTAAAAAAATGTGTTCTGTCACAGGCAGCCCGGTGCTGGTGATTGGAATGGAGATTAAGAGTTAAGGTGGGATTTTGGGACAGCAGGGACATGAACCAGCCTTGTTTGACTATGTATTTTCTAAAGTCTATAATATGCTGGTATACAAGCAGCACATTCTGTACATCCCCCACACTGTTTGGAGATGCTCTAGAAAACTAATAGAGAATGAAGGCCATCACGCACAGCAGGAGCACTGAACAGGAAGTCTGTACTATGATCAGTATCAGGACAGCGTAACATCAGGAATTCATCTCGCTCTTTCAGTTTAAAAAGAGCTATAAAGAGAGATCTTGAGAGATCTACGTTTTAATGTTATTATGTATTCTTGTTTGAATAATCTTCTCACTTATACTTTGAAAGTACTTTGTACTT